TCAAAGAAGAAACAGCTTACTGTGCTTCACCACTTGGGCTTGCAGGGGCGTATTCTTTGTACGAACGAAGAAATCATGACACTGGTGCCACTTGTGGATTCACCTCCTTGGAAACGAAAGCGAAAAGTAGGGGACAAGGTCGTGGTAAGTGAGGAGACTTCCATGTCTTCGCATTTTAGCACCTTCTGCTGTCATCATCACTTCCAGCAAGGACCAGGCAATGTGGCACTTGCACTGATCGTGTTAGATAAGCATAAACATTGGCTGCATTGTACCTTCCGTGTGGTTGAATGGCACTCTATGTAACTGTTTGGAAACAGATCACGAGTTCAAATCCTGATTCATTCAGTCACCTTATGGCCTACACCCTTATAAAGAAGCATCCGGCGCATTTGTCCTACACAAAGCGGGTCTTATATCAAGGACCACAGCAGTGATACTGTTTTCTTTTTTTTTTTCCGGTCACTGGGTAACCTGTCTTTTCCGAAGAAGTATAGGAGCCGGATGGTGACCAGACAGAAGGAGCAGAGGACGCAGAGGAGTCAGAGGAAAGGAGGCATGGTGGTGGCAGGAAACGAGGCATGGTGGTGGCAAGATGGGGTGGAGGTGGAGAAAGGGGAGGAAGAGGTGGACGAGGGGTTGGAGGAGGAAGATTAGGATGGGGCCGAGGGTGGGGAGGACATTGAAGGCGAGGAGTAGTGGCATTAGAAGGAGGACAAGAGGAGGCGGGGGAGGAGGAGGGGGAGGGGAGGGGAGGGGGAGGAGGAGGGGTAGAAACAGGAGTAGGAGGAGGACAACAGGAGGAGGAGGGGGAGAAATAGCAAGGCATGATACTCCTTTGGTTCGGTGAATATATGACATTATATGGATATTGTGAGAGTCGCCTCTATCTGCCTGTCCTTTCTCTTCGCTTTTTGCCTTGGCTCTTGAGCGGGTATGTCCTTATTTTGAAATTTTAAAATTCGAGCATGACTTCTGTAGGCTCATAATCACACTAAGAACCTTTTGACTGATCTTTGGACATAACTACGGCCAAATGCATGGACGGCCAACTGTAATTGCCGTCAGACACACCCAGGA